AAATTTTATTCTATTTAAAAACATTTTAATATTTCTACAAATCTATAAAATTTAAATAAAAAATTTTTATTAATTTGTGATTTTAAAAAGATATTTTTATTAATAAATTAGTAAAAAGCTTTTTAAAACAATGTAATAGTGATAGTATTATGATTGTGATTATATAAAGATATTTTTAATATTAAAAAAATGACCATATAAAATTATATAATTATATAGAGTTTATAATTATATAGGAGATGATTATATGGAAGGATGACTGTATTTATTTTTTTAAATATATTTTTTTTAGAAGATATATATGTACCTGAAGGTATATATACTCACATCATATAATATGCATTTGTATATATATCTAATAATGACTTTATTTAATATATAATAATATTTATTGTTATTATTATAAATTATTAAAAATATATAACTAGAAGCACAACTTTTCTGATGATTCTCTGAACAACAATAAAAAACTAAACTATAGAAAAATAATATAAGAACATCCAAGACAGATACTTTTTAGTTCTATCTTAGAGTAAAGCAGTTGTCTATGAAGTCTGAAGACTAAAACACCAAGAAGTGGGTATTTTTTAGACAGTTTTTTTTGGGATCAAACTTTGCTGTTTCTGGTGAACTTCCTAAGTTATTCAGCATCCAAACTAGAAATGTATTCTAGAAACTGTTTTTACCTTCATGTAGATTGTTGTTAACAAAGTTCAAGAGATGTGATATACTAAAGAGCAGGTGTAAATTAGATAGTTTTTCTTGGAGTCAAGTTTTTTTTTTACTAATTTATTGAACAGACTCCTTAAGTTATTTAGCATCCAAACTAGAAGGCCTATTCTGAAAACAAGTAGTGATCAAAAGACTCTCGCTGAAATAGTTAAAGCTTAAAGAATTGTCTATATAACTATAAAACTTACAGAAGAACTTCACATACTCTCAGTCTCTCTACTTTTTTTCAGAAAAAATTTTATAAAAAAGTGGGTAATTTAGCTTACTTTCTTCAAAAGATTGATGTATTGTTTACTTACCAAATCGATCACATTGTTTATATTTTTATCTGTCACAACAAACACATTGATATATATAGGACTAGATATATAAATTACATGCCTTAAATGTAGCAACTTGAACAAATAATGACTTGAGACTTCTGATGTGATTTTTGACTTTCTGACCTCTCTATAGTGCCAATGTTAAAAAAGCTATTTTTTTTATCTTGTCATAAAGTTTTTTTCTTACCTTAGATATACTATTGTTACAAGGTTGTAGCCTTCTTAGTAAAATACAACCAAGTAACAAGGTCACCTAGTATAGTGATTGACTATTGCAAATATATACAGAGTGAAGGTGTAGTTGTTTACTTAACTATATAGTAGCAGGCAAATAGTTTGAGATAGTAACAGTATATAAGATAGCTTTATTTAATACAAGAATGGTGATAAGCTTTGCCTATAGGAATTATCCTAAAGGAGGAATATTACACTTTATAAGATAAGAAGGGTTAAAGGATATCAGAGTCTAAATGAAGTGTAAGAACGTAAGAATTGGCAAGAAGGGAGAAGTCACCTTTTATATATCTTTTCTGCCCTAAGCAAAGGTACACAGCATGCAAGAGAATATTAGGAGATGAATAACATTAGTAGGAAAAGTTGGGAAATTGTGCTGGGTGAAGTTGGGGGATTGCACTGGAGGAAGTTGAGGGATTGTACTTGGGAAAGTTGGGAATATAAACATTATTCAATTTGTTTATATTTATTTATTGTTTATGAAGGGAAACCTAGAAGACTTTGTGACACAGTGTAAAGCTTGTGATGTAATATCTTGTGTTCAAAACACTTAGGATTTTGTATTGAGGAATCTGGAGGATTCTGTGTAAAAGAACTTGGGAAAATTGTGTTACTCTTTCATAGTACCTTTTACAGTTAGGGATTCTTCTATATATAGTATTGCCTAATATAGTAATGATCTGCATTGTTCAACGGTATAGAAATTTTTTCAAACTGATCGACAAAATTAAATCTGATTAGTCACAAATTATTAAATAATGCACAAAAGACATAATCATATTTTCGAGTTTTTTGATCCAAAAATATTTCTGATTTCAAATACTTACTAACTATAGAAGCGTGAGGATTTTTTTTCAGTGTATTATAAGTTACTTTCGTTATATTGATCAGATTGAGATTTTCTTTACTACTGTATATATATTGAGGAAGTTTTTATATAATTGTCACTATAATGAGTAGCTCACTATAATGAAAGGTTCTTGTAACCAGAAGTTCATTATAAAAAGAGATTTGCTATAATGAGAGCTCACTAAAACAGGAGTGACTTGCACTTAAAATCCTTTGTTGTAGATTACGAAGGCGGAAAATTGTAAGTTTTAAAAAAGTTTATCTTGCCCATTTTAATAGTAGTGTAATTTTGTAACTAAACTGAAAATGCTATTCTAAATTTGGTAGTTTTAAGCAGTCTAACTATCTTATGTATCAAGACTTTCATTTTGGCTTTAAGATAAGTATATTTCGAACTTACTACTTTTATTGAAATTATAATTGTTGTGGCTGATGCTGAAATTTAGGGCCTCGATTTGAAAATATAAGCCCTGCTATAATCTACATATGCTCTTTAATTATCAATTCTATTCCTAAATCCTAACCCAACTTCAAAAAAAAAGCAGAAAAAAAAATTTAAAAATTCATAACAAAATAGGTCCGAATTTCAATATTAGCTGTGACAATAATTATGAACTATAAAATGTTTTATATAAAATTTTAGATAACGGCAGCTAGAGCTGAGATCTTTTAAATATTCATCATGACTATTCAATGAATATTCACAGGTTTTATTTATCCATGAATAGTATCTAGATTTTATATAGATATCATAACTATTCGTAAAAAAATTTATGGATATTCATGAATATTCTGGTTATATTAGTTCTAAACAAATATTTATTGAATATTCACAATTATTCACGAATTTTGTGAAACCTAAATATTCATTGAATATTCATATAGAATATAATCTAATCTTTGACTATTCATAAATTTTGTGTAGCAGAATATTTACTTTAAATTGAGTATTTATTTTTTAACTATGGATATTTACAAATCTCAGCTCTAACAGAAAGATTGAAAAAACGATTTTGGATAATAAATTTGAACTGCTAAAATTTGTTAAAGGTAATGATTGTTAGTATAATCCTGGGAGTTACAAAATATTAATTGACACAGGTTAAACAATTGATTATTAATTTTCTAGGTCTATTTCATTTTCAAGTTCTTGATTGTTGTGCAGGTTTCTGATACTTTGCAAGATCTCTCACAGTTAGGCATGGGTTTTTTGTTGCAATCCATAATACTTCGGACGGTTTGAAGTATTGATAGAATTTAGCAATGAATTAATAATTGCTAAAAGCTCTTCTTTTTTCATATTTTCTTCATTCATTGCCGCTGATGCTTCTTGATCTGTAACAGATATTGGCCGAGGTAAGGAACTTAGCTTTTTGTTTTTGAAAGTTTCATTAATAAATGCTATTCGTCTTTTACATGCCAAATTGCTAAAATTTTTTAGTTGCTCGCTAAGAAAATACTCCTCTCCAAGACTTTTAAAAGCACGATCATTATCTTGAGGATTTAAGATCTTAGCTTTTCGCAATTGAACTCGAAATCGTTGTGATTCTAAAGTATAATCTGGGCGTGTTCGACCTCCAGATGATTCATTATCAGTATGTCCAATCATATTAAATAATATGTGACGCAACTAATGATTATGATTATTCGAAATTAAATATTATAAATACTTAAAATATAGATGCTTTTTTGTTCAAATATAAATTATAATATTTACCTTCATGAATTTTGTACAATTGCGTGCTGCTATCTTCTAGTGTTTTTGTGAAGGTACAGGTGGAATTAAGGCTTTCAACGACTTATTAACTTCTTCAAGAATAGCATCAATGCCTTGGTGCTGGTTATAGTAACCTGATCACGAAACAACCGAATGTGATTCTATACATTGTCTAATCTCAGGATTTAATTGCATCAATTGCTCCTCATAAGTTATTTCAATTAAATGATATATGGAGTGCCTGCGTCCAGACCATATTGGTGCAAATGTACGTCGAGCAGCACTTACTAACAAAGGCCGGTTATTTCTTATACCTGTGCGAAAGTTAATAATTGCCTGAAGGTAGACAAAAGTCTGTAATAATCATTAGCTAAGAATTTTAAATATATTTGATCATTTATTAAAAATCTTACTTGTTCAAATTTTAGTATATATATATAATCATTTTGTTTCTTGGCCCAGCCATAAACCAAAGGATTTTCATTTATAGCCACATATGGCCATAATAATTCACATGCCATAGCATACCGATAAATATTGCAGATAGAATCCCACAATTTGTGATGGTCTGTACAATTTTTAAAAAATTTAAGTTGATTTTCGGTTCTGTAACCTTGAAACATTGCAAATTGTTTGATATCAATTGCCCTTAAATCAAATAATATTGAGTTAGAATGATTGGAATAATATTATATTAAAAAAAAAAAAAATACTAATTTAATTTTATAAATGATTTGAGCATATTCATTTCTTTATGCAATGCTCCGGAAATTAGTATAAGCTATGAAAAATCTTTTTTAATCTTCTAAACCAAATTATATGGAACGCCGTCACAAGTAACTGGAAGCCATTTTTGCATTCCGTGGCCTACTTTTGCAATATCTTGTATATATTTCAGAATTTTTTTGATATTATTTACCGAATTGGGGTTAAGTTCTAATGGATCTGGTATGTGCATTTTTGGAACGATAACGTCATGCTCAGGTTCTGATTGTTGTGTAATGCTAACATGCTCAAAAAATGGAATTTTTTTTTCATAAATATATGCATGAGGCTTTATTATGAGAGATTTTGTTTGAGGAGCTGTGTCAATGATTTCATTAGCAGATTCTGCTTGTAAAGTAGCTAACATATCTAATTTCTCATCACACTTAGGGCATTTATGCTTCTTATTGTCGATGTTAGTCATGTTGCATTTTTTGCACCATTTAGATTGACCTCCAACACCTTTTTGATTTTTTATAGCTAGATCAATAGAATTCATCTCTTTATTTTTTTCAGCAGTAAGATCTTCTAAAGTTGATGTTAAGTATATATATAATTCTCGCTTGTGCTCTGATTTCATTTGTGGTGTGACATAATATAATTCTTCATATTGATTTGTTAGTGAATCATTAAGCCAAGGATCAATCATAAACTGTGCATAATCATTTTTATTCATGTTTAATGCAACAAAACTTGTAACTGTATGATATATAACTATTATATCCACGATCGAGATAATTAAATTGACCCCGCTGTTCATTATCAAAGGCCAAAAATAATAGCCCTTCAGGTAAAGGATCATTTTCGATTGCTAACGATTCAAGCCAGTTAATGAATTTTGTATAACCCCCAGAACTAATTATATGATTGTCGATATCAACAATTGTTTTAGATTGTGCTAACGAATATTTAATCTCTGCTATGGCCAAATTTATTTCTGATACATAATTTTTATGTCTTGATCCATACATTGCATTAATAGCGACGATTTTTTTGAAAGTTTTTTCATTTGAAGTAGCATTAGTGTTGTCATTATTATTGTTATAAGTAAGAGCATTAATAAAAAAACAATGATAGGGTTACGATTAGCTAACCAATTTTTGGGTGCAAAATTTAATAAGTTGTCAAGAGAAAATTGTTGTTTGTTTAAAATTAATGACTCGATATCATCATAAACATTTCGACATTCATGATTTGCAATTTCAATTATCGAATTAATGCTTTTTTTTTGGCTGTTATAATGATTTTCCAATTTATATTTTAACGAATTATTGTGTTCGGTTAGCTCTTTATTTATTCTATTTAATTCCTGAATTTGTTTCCAACTCTCTATTACATAATCATACACATAATTTAACTGTTTTTGAAGATTTTCTATTTCATTTATTTTTACATCTAATTGCGCTTGTAGTAGATTAATATAGCTTTCAAGAGTATGTGACATAATATCAAATACTTGTACACCAAACTCACGGGTCTCCTTATTAACTTGTACACCGACCTTATCAGTTTGAATGCCAATTTCACAAGTATTTTTTTTAACTTCTATTTCATAAGCATGCTCTGTACGAACTTGCTTTTCAACAATTTCATCTTCAAAATCAAGATTATGCACTTGCCGCTTTTGTTTATTTTGTTTATTTTCAGACACTTGTGAATAATTTGCATCTAAAAGAACCTGTCGTAAGAAATCAGATGCAATAAGTTGGTTATAATGTTTTTCATATAAAGAAAAATCTTTTAAATGCATTCAATAGAAGACGATTTTTTGCTAAATTACTATCTGCGTGTCGAATCGTTTGTAGCTCTTTGGTCTTACATTCTAACAATCTGGAACCTTCATACAACGAAACAGAAGAAGCCAATGCACAGAGTAATTCTCGAGCTGGCCGTCGTTTGCATTATTGATTTTGACTCGATTTCACTAAGAAAAAAAAAAGGTTTAGAATAAATGAATTATAATGAAAAAGCTAAGTAAATTTATTACATACTTGTTGGAGGTTTTTTTTTTTATAATAAAAAAAAAGGATGATTCCACAATATCACTAATCAAACACAAACTATGTAACAATGGTGTCTTTATAATATCAGAATGATTATTTTATAATAAAACAAGGCGCGGAACTAGTATAGCTTAAGTGATTGTTCGCTTTTCTAAGAACGAAGTATTTTATTTCTAATGTTAAAAAATTTCTAAAGCTATTAATAATCTAAAAAAAAACTCTGCATTTTTATAGCTTTGTAAACATCAAAACGAACTGATTGTAAGACTACATATTCTGAATTTCTTAGTATTTAAAGGGATCGCTATGCTACAAAGACAAATTTTAAATTTAGCTTGTGAAAAATGTGAAAAACGTTAAGATTTATATAAAAAAATCAGGTGAAGGCAAGCTTACAATTTGATATATATATAGAAATACCCCAACCATATTCTACTAGAATGGATTCTTTCAACTTAATTTTGAAACCTACAATAGAATACAATAAACTAAATTGCTTACTTTAAACACTTCATGCGTAAACTATAAATAAATAACTTACCCTGATTTATAATTACCATTAACCAAATTTGAAAACAAACCAAAATAAGAATAGATAATAGTAAATAACTGTTAGCAAAGCCATTGACAGAGCAGAAAGGATTTAAGAAAACGTTTATATGCCAATTTAATACCAGTAAGAGCCAGGCTTAACGACATTAATCCACGTTAGATAAACTTTATTGTCCTGAAACATCTCAACTCTTGAATCTAAAAGAAATAAGCATTAGAATATCAAAAAAAAAAAAAAAATGAAGCGTAACTGTTAATCCTTTTCTTCCTAATCCAAGATTATTCAAAGAAGTTAATGTAGTGTTTTTACAAAGTGTATCTGTTAATGAATTCCTCCTCCTGGTCCAATATTCTGTAATTGAGATTTAAAAAGGCTAGCACAGTATTTTGCAAGTTTATTCTGACTAAGCTCTGAAGTAGTCATCGTGTGTTCTTCTGATCCTAAATTCGGATTCATATTTCTTTGCCTTCTTCTGATCTAAGATTATTTGAATTAATGTCAATGTAATGTTTTACAATATGCATCTGCTAATACATTTCCTCCTTCTAGTATACAAAAAAGCTAATGCAGTGTTTTTGCTTAATGGTATGTTTCTTTTCTAATCAGAGTTTATTATAACTCCAGCTCCAGAAAAGTCTGCGCAGTGTTCTTGCAAAGTGCATTTGCTAACGCTTTTCTATCTTCAGACCCAAAATTATAATCCAAAATTTTTTTCTTTCTCCTGATCTAAGATTCAAATAAGTCAGCATAGTGCTTTTACAAGGTTCATTGGTTAATGCATTTCCTCTTGTCCAAGATAATTGTAACTAAGATCTAAAAAAAACTAGAGTCGTGTTTCTGCAAAATCTTCTAATACAAATTTATTCTGCTAAAGATCCAAAGAAACCAGGTAGTGTTTATTATAAAGAATGCCTTTTCTCCTGATCTAAAGTTATTATAGCGAAGGTCAAAGAAGTTAATTCTGAATTCTTGTAAAGTTATTGTGTTAAAAAAATAAGTGCTATATAATAAAAAAAGGTTGTGCCATTAAACCTCGTTATTAATAAAAATTTCTAAGTCTCAATATATGAAACTTGCAAAAATAGCAGTATTACCATAGTAAAAGTGTAAAATTTCAGCAAACTAAGAACCATAAGTTTAAAATTTATCTTTTTTTCGAGCCTCATCTACTTCGTTAAAAAAAATTGATTATAACTGATTTTCTATTGATTATAAAGCCATTATCTTCTACTTTTTGTATATGTAGTTATTAATTATCAACAGGTATCGTGAAAGATCTAAAACTTTTCGGTCAAAGAGTGTGATTATAAGCCAATAAAAATTTGAGAAGTTTTATAGATCGTTCTAGAATTGATCTTTAGTATTTTAATACGTAATCTGTTACACAAAATATAATCTGCTAAATTTAGAAGAATCCCGGACTGTTTTATGTAATCTAAAGTACTCTTTTGTATAACCTTGTATCACCTTAGGTTATATGACTGTGCCACACTTCCAATAGCCAATCAAATTATTCTTATATATCGACTATAAAATTACTATCTAATATAATATAATAATATATAATATAAGAATATACAAAATATAACTAAGAATAAACTAACTGATAATATATATAATAATGAATAATACTAAGCTAAAAATAACTTAAATTTCTATACAAAATGCTACACAAAAATCTACTTAGTAACACTATATATATAAATTAGAGTAGAAACTAGTTTAAATAGTAGTATATAATTTTTATAGAGCTTAACACAGGCTTATAATTGTAATTATCCAGTACAAATGAAAAATCTTGTATTTAGTTAAGTTTTTTTTCATTTTTCCCTTATCCCATTTATTTTTGTTTGTATTTTTTTAATATATCCCCCTATACCTCTGTGTTTCTTTAAAATTTTTTTTTTCTTTTCTATGAGAAGATGTTATCAGATTGATGATATTCTATTGTAGGGCAGTGGTTAGACGAGCCCTCTAGTTAAGGTATTATTTTATATCTCACTGGCACAGCAGGTTGTCTATAGATGCTCAAATAAGCAGTGTCAGAGCTGTAGTTTTATTGTTTTAAATCTTTCATGAGATGATAACTTGAATAAACATAGGTTACTGGCACAATCTTGCCTAAGTGAAAATATATATATATATATGTATATATAACTAATTTATAATTTTATATTTATATATTTATAACTTTAACCCAATCTATTTATCATACCTAATTTAACCTAATCTGTTTTACTCATTTCTTTTTTTTTATTTTATTTTATTTTATTTTGAATTTGCTATATGTTCTCTCATTTTTAGTCTTAGCTTAATTTATTTTATCTATTATGAACCCTAAACCCAATTTACAACTCATTTATTCAAATTTGATTTCTACTACAAATAATGCTATTAGAGATAGCTTAATAAGGGTTATAGAACAATAATCAAGTAATATCAGCAGTAACTTTAATAATATATAATATATTAACTAAGTCAAGTAACCAATTATAAGTCTCATTCTTCACTACAATTCTCACAAGTCACTAAAGCAAATAGCAATATTTAATTCTAAAAATAGTTTAGAATTCAAGTCTTAATAAGTAAAATCGAAGTTATAAGTCAATTCAATTTGTCAAGATACAAATTAAATTCAAAAATAATTTATAAAGGAATATTCAGATGATTTATTTAATTAGTATTACAAATTAAAATGAAATCTGATCAAAACGAACTTTTTTTGTTTTTTAAGAAAAATTTAAAATTTTTTAGAAGATATTTTTTGGGATTCTTTTTAGTATTAGGGGTAGAGTTTTGGGTTAGAATTATTATTAAATATATATATATAGGTTTTATAGGTTCTAAAAGTAGATATAAAAGGTTTTTAGTTTTATTTTGATCAGATTTTATTTTAATTTGTAACAATCAAAAGTAGAATAAGATATTTGTTTAGTTAATAATAAATCGACCAGGGCAGCCCTCAAAAATACGAGTTATGTAGATGGTGTTACTAGGTTCAATATGCACAATATGAAAATATGCAATGTAGAATCAAAATTTTCATGACAATAGTATATCAGCAAAATATATAAATGTAATCTTACGAAAGTTATTATATCCTGAAATATTCTGCAATAATTATGATCGATGCAGAATATTTTGAAATTTTTAATTATGAAATATTACGAAATATATTACGAAATATTACGAAATATATTACGAAATTTGTTACGAAATATTTTGATAAAATTCAAACTAATTCGAATTTATTCAAAATATATAAAATTTACTACTTGACTAGACAGTATTAAAAAAACTTTTATAAAATAAATAAAATAGTAAATTACATATTTGAATTAAAATATATTCATATAATATATTTTTTGATTTATTTCATTTATTTAAATTTTTTCAAATTATACTGAAATTTTAAATAAATAAATACTATAAATTTTATAGCTTAAACTATATTATTTTTTTATTTAAATTTTTAAATATTATATATAAAAAAAGCCAACTAATCTTATATTAAAAGAAATATATAAAAAATTATTGTTACCCAAAGATGAAGAATCGGAAGATATAGATTTAGAATTATATTCTTCTGGATCTTTTTCACTTTCTGTAGTTTAATCCGAATCTATTTGAAATAAATCGAAAATTTTAAAATTATTTAAAATTATTTAGCAATTACAAAATATAATAAATTATTTTGACAAAATCAGCAAATTTTAAAAACCAAAATATTATATAAGATTTACGAATGATATATAATATTGTGAAAGATTTTAAAAAATGTGAATTGGTGCAAATTTTATTAAGAAAATTTAAAAACTTTCAATAAGTAGCATTGTTCAGCACCTTATTTCGGTCATAATGGTAATTAAATCATCAAAATTGGCCCAATATTTACTGAGATAGCTAATTGTAATATTCTATATATTGAAAGTTTATAAATTTTTTTAATAAGATTTGCATCTATTCGCACTTTTTTTAAAACTTGCACAATATTCTTGCAAAGTGCCAGAAAATTTGCAAAGTATCAAAGATGTAAAGAATAAATAAATTAATTAAAAGTTAAAAAAAAAAACGAAAAAACAAAAATATAAACAAACTAATAAAAATAAATAAAACCCCAAATCTTCATTTCTTTAAGGGTAGAGTGTACGTAGATCATTTTGTCATATGATCAGCATGGTATTTTTCAATTTT